TGGGAACAAAAATTTGTCAACCTTTACCAAGACATCTTCGGCTACACCATGAGGGCGAGTGGTAGATTTTTCGGCAAGTTGCAATGTCATTTGAGTAGACTTCAACTCCATGTATCCCAGCTGCTTCACAATAGATAAGGGTATCAAATTGATACTAGAGCCCAAATTGATCAACCCCTTGCCAATATAAGTATTTCCAATTGTGATGGGCAAGGTGACTCGTCCCAGATCACTTTCTTTTCTCAGGAGATTACGTTGAATGATTGCGCTACAACTAGCATCCACCATGATAGTTTCTTGATTCGTATACCTCTTCTTCTTCTTCGTAAGGATGCCCTTCATGAATTTTGCATGCTTGGGCATTTGTTCCAATGCTTCATAAAATGGAATATTGATTTGCAATTGCTTGAATATATCCATGAATCGAGCATAGTGTCTCGCATTATCTTTCCGTGTCGGCGCATGCGGATAAGGAAAATTTTGAATCGAGATAGTGTTCACTTTCTCTTTTCCTTTCCTAGACTTCTTCACTCTTTCTTCTCTCTTATTTTTCTCTTCTTCCTCACTCTTTTTCACTCTTCCATTTTCAACTAAATCTCCCTCAACATTTTTTTCTACTTCTTTCTCAACATTTTCATTTTCCTTTTCAACTACAACTTCTTCCGCCACTATCTCATCACCTACGCCCATGTCAATTTCTCTACCACTTCTTGTGAGAATTGCCTTGCAATGCTCCTTAGGATTTGGAAGAGCGGTAGCCGTGAAAGGCCCTTTTTGTTAATCGACCAATTGTTTTGATAATTGGCCCACTTGTGTCTCTAAATTCTTTATAGCCACATCGGTGTTCTTTTGATTTGACATTGACATTTGCATAAATTGAGTAAGAGTTTCTTCCATCTTTGACGGTGCACTTTGAGTTTGTGGAGGTTGAGTGTAATTTTGATATTGTTGACCATTTGAAGTTCCGGCTTCTTGCGGCCTCCAAGGTTGTTGGTACCCTTGATTTGGTCTTTGATAACCTTGATTTGCTTGTTGATAAGGTGGTCTTTGTTGGTATCCCTGATTTTGATTTCAGGCATAGTTGACTTCTTCCAATATTGGAGAACAATACCCGGTAGGATGGTCACCTTTACACAATTCACAACTTGCCACTTAAGCATTGGTAGGAACTTCTTGCATCTCTTTGATTTGTTATGGAAGCTTCGATATTTGTTGAGTTAAAAGCTCCACTTATTGTGAAAGAAGTTTATTTTGAGCAAGAATAGCATCATTAGTACCTAACTCTAGCACGCCTGGTTTTCGTTAAACTACTCCACGATTATGATTTCCTTGGTGACCATTAAGTGTCATCTTGTCAGTAATTGCTATTGCATCTTTGACGCTTTTAGACATCAAAGAACCTTCTGCCGTAGCATCCAACAAGGTCTTGTGAACCGAGAGGAGACCATTACAGAAAATGTGAACTTGAGTAAGTTCATCAAAACCGTGTCCTTTGCATTTTCTCAACATTGACTTGAATCTCTCCCAAGCTTCATTGAGGGATTCATTTCCTCCTTGTGAAAACACAGCTATCGCAGTTTTTGCTTCCATGAAACGATTATGTGGAAAGAACTGTTCAAGAAACTTCTCTTCCAATAAATTCTAATCCGTCATAACTGTCGTAGACTGAACTAGATACCACTCCTTCGCTTTCCCAATCAAAGAATGAGGAAATAGCCTCCTAAACATTGATTCTTCATCAACTTTTGTTGCTCCCGTTGCACCCGCAATCTCATAGAATTTGGTAAGATGTGTAAACGGATCCTCATGATCTAACCCTGTGAAAGGATTTTGATAAATGAGTGCAAGGATTCCTGTTTTCATCTCGGCTTATCTTCCATTTTGGAGATTACGTGCAAACTGAGCAGTATGTCTTGGACTGTTAGTACATGGAACCGAAACTGGAGGTGGAGGTGGTGGTGGTGCTACCATAATTGGTGAATTAGGTGGAGTGGATGAAGAAGATTCTCCGCGCTCTAGTCTTTCAATAGCTTGTTTCCGTCTTCGCCTTGTGCGACTATTAGTATGGTGAGCAGTTCTCTCAATCTCAGGATCGAAAAGAAGGTTTTCAGGCCGAACCTATCCTCGCATAAATGAACTCTACACACAAACTAAACAGATTAAAAATCACAAAGAATTAAGAATTACAAAGATAAGAGATTCACAATACAAAAAATCTTTAAATCACTAAACTATTGTAATGCTTGCAATAATATACTAACAATCCTCGACAACGGTGCCAATTTGTTAGAAAGTATTTTGTGGTAGTGTTTTATCATATCCACAAGGATTGATGAGAATATAGATGCTTTCCATTCAACAGTTTAATGATTTAAGAAAGGGGGTTTTTAAACGGGTTTCTATTTTCGTAACAAGAATTTTCAAGAAATAAAACGGAATAAAATTCGGTCTAAGTTTGATAAAAGCATGCCAAAATTAGGGGTTACTAATCCGTCCTAAAAGTATCTAACCGATCAAATATGTGAACATAGTTTTAACCAACATAACCGCGTATCCTCGCAAAAATGTTCATTTCTAAAGCGATTTCATGAATGTTATTGTTTCGACCGTTAAATGATCTCTCTAAATAACACTCGAAACAATAATCATTAAGACCAATACAAAGTGGATATCAACTATGTCTAGAATTTGTATAGTTGATAGATGAAGAAATTAGGTCAAGACTTGGAAAGTTCGTGTCTAAAGCAATCCAAACCATAAATGTACAAAGGGTAGCAAATAACTTCATCTATATTGATCACAACATTGTTCACATACAAAAGATCAAGAAGAATACATAAAATCTGAACTAACTACCTCTAACCTTGACAAGAGAGGGATTTAACCACCCATTTCCATGATAGCTTGAGCAACAATTTTCGGAAGAAGGTTGATCAACATCCGAGTCGAATAATCGAGATTGGATGGGAATCCACCTTAATTTTGTGAAATATTGCTAAGAGATGATGAGAAATGGAGAGACAAGCTTTTTAGGTCTGAAAATCCTCTCAAAAGAAAGTACAAAATAAATATTTTTTTCTCAAAAAGTAGCCCAAACTACTTATAGAATGGCTGTTGAGCTGTCATGTTCGCAGTGCAACAAAGTGTTCGCCTAGCGAACAACCAAAATGGCACCTGAAGTGCCTATGTCCTGTGAAAGCTCCCCATACAGATTTCCACATGTTCGCTGTGCGAAGGCTTCGCTGCAAACTTCGCACAGCGAATTCGTGTCCAAATACCTACTTCCTCAGAGTGTTCGCTAGCCCTTCGCTACCTCTTCGCTCCAGCGAGTTGTTTGCTGCCTGTCATACCCCAAATTTGTCCTACTTGTACAACTTTCATTCAGTATATCTACTCCAGTTATTATTTACAAAAAAAATCCAAAAAAATGTGTGTTGCTTTTGCTGGTGATCTAAACTCCGGGAAATGTAAGTTTGGGTTGCATTAAATTGGGATGCATTTGAGGTTTCATTCTGAGGATTTACGTGCTAGTGATTTGATGAGACTAATTCATTGTCTTTATAAGACCGTTCACTCATATCCTCTTCCATTGTAATCACGGTATCCAATCCAATTGCTATTATCCACTTACTCGTTCTTTTAGTCATTTTTATTCCATTATTCACTTGAAATTAAATAATCCATTTGTAGTTTTATTTTTATTTTTTTTTAATCCATATTCTTATACCAAATTTTTTCTTCAAATTCATTTGTTTCATTTGTTACTCTTCCATTACCCATTACCCATGTTCTCTTCCCATTTGTATATCTCATCATAAAGATTATAGAGAGATTACTATGCCTATTTATAATTTCAAAATACCATACATCTAACATACATTACACAAAAATCTACAAAAATTTGTCCTCATGAAAATATAGTCCACAAGCCATATAATTCACATCATATACTCCACTGTTTGTTAATTACAAATCCCAGGTTACCAAACTTTCGTTGAAACCACCCACTTCTCTCAAGTCCACAACCTCCAAACACCTTCGTTCAATTGGGATTTACCATCATCATCATCACACAAGTTCCACGACTTATGTTTTAAAATCCAAGAAACAACACAGACCTATTTCCGTCAGGGCCGGCAGTGATATTGGAGCAGCTGGATCCAATCGTCCATTTGTTGACAAAGTTTTAGATTTGAAAGATGCATTCTGGAGATTTTTGAGGCCATATACTATACGTGGTACAGCACTAGGATCCGCTGCTTTGGTGTCAAGAGCGTTGATCGAGAACTCAAATATGATAAAGTGGTCTCTTTTGCTGAAGGCATTCTCTGGTCTTTTTGCTCTGATTTGTGGGAACGGTTATATAATTGGCATCAATCAGATATATGACATTAGCATTGACAAGGTAAACAAGCCTTATTTACCTATAGCTGCCGGAGATCTTTCTGTCCAATCTGCATGGTTCTTGGTCATTTTTTTTTTGCAGCAGCTGGCCTATTGATTGTAGGATTGAACTTTGGACCCTTTATTTTTTCTCTTTACTCCTTTGGCCTTTTTCTCGGTACTATCTATTCTGTTCCTCCTCCTCCAGCAACGTTTGTGTGTTTGAGATTGTGAGTGACTTCTGTCTTCAGCTCCTTATGGAGCTCTCTATTTCTTCTTCATATTCACATTCTTCCATAATCCCCACACTGAATTCCACTTCCCACTACTCTTTGAAACGACACCACCGACGTGCAACTTCAACCTGCAAGCGAAGAAGGGTGAGATGATGCGCATCTTTCAAAACAGTCTTCACCAACTAGAAGGCTTCACGTCAAAACCTGTGTGCATAAGCAGAAGTGAAGAGTCAGATGCAGACAAGTTCTGGACAGCATAGTATTCATCACAAAAGACACCACAAACAAAAAAGAATCACCGCACCAAACAAAAGCCCCTTTTCCCTCTTTCGTACTCGCTAGGGTTTTCTCTATTCGCATCTCAATTTTCCGATATTCTCCATGGATGAGGTTCCTGTGTTGTTGGAAGAGAATGAAACAAAGTCTGAGGCGCATTTGACTTCTGCTGCTGCTTTTGTGGAAGGTGGAATTCAGGAGGCTTGTGATGATTCTTGCAGTATATGCCTTGAATCCTTCTCTGACAGTGATCCTTCTACGGTAACGAGTTGCAAGCACGAGTTTCATCTTCAATGTATTTTGGAATGGTGTCAGAGGAGCTCCCAGTGTCCTATGTGTTGGCAATCTATCAGTCTCAAGGATCCCACGAGCCAGGAATTGCTCGAGGGAGTTGAGAGGGAGAGGAACTTTAGGTTAAATCCGTCAAGAAATGCCACAATATTTCATCATCCAACACTGGGGGATTTTGAGTTACAACATTTGCCAGTTGGAGCAAATGATGCTGATCTTGAAGAGCGTATAATCCAACACTTAGCTGCTGCAGCAGCAATGGGGCGAGCACGCCATATTGCTGGAAGGGAAGGCCAGAGAAATAGGTCATCAGCTCAAGGTCGTCCACAGTATTTGGTATTTTCAACTCATCCCAATTCACCTCCTATGGCTCCTGCTTCTTCCTCTCCATCTCAGAGAGGTGATGGTGAACCAACTCATGCGACCGGAGAAGACACACCACAGCTCACTTTGATGCCTCCAGTTCAAACTGACCAGGTTTCTGCTTCAAGATCTGGGTCTACTGCTCCTGCTACCGACAATCAGGGATTATCATATAACAACAGGAGATCTCCTAGTCAGTCTTCTCCAAGTAGCCAAGACAGAGCAGGACCATCAGAACTCCAGTCATTTTCAGAATCTCTGAAATCTAAACTTAATGCTGTGTCAACAAGATACAAAGAGTCCATTTCGAAGAGCACACGAGGGTGGAAGTAAAGGTGGTTCTCTCGAAACAGCCCTATGTCTGACCTTGGAACTGAAGTTAAGCGAGAAGTCAATGCAGGGATTGCATCTGTGTCACGCATGATGGAGCGGTTGGAGACTAGAGAGAATGATAGAAGCGATGGCAATTCTGCTCCAAGTAATTTAGAGGACGGTCCAATTCAGGGATCAAATGATCAGCATTTAACTGACAGTGAAAGGGACAGTCTTTTAAGAGACAATGACATAAAAACATCTTGCACTGCAGGTTCCAGTTCAAATTAAGCATATAGAAGGAATTGCTTGAACTCCGATCTGTTTTGTCCTTAAGGTAGGAATAGAGTTGCTCATTACTGGATGTGAAGTTTTGTGGATGTCGCGAATTTGATAATCCTTTGACCTGCAAAAGAGAAAAGAAAATACATGAGTTGTTACGCTAAAGAGTGCACAATTATAGGTCGTAAATATAAATGAAGGTTCTCGTATACATCAAGCAAATTATCCTCACCAGAATCACTAGGTGAACAAAGTTTGATATGCTTCCCGCTGTTATAAAGGATTCCCAGCTGTTAACCTTAAAACTCCAAGTGGAAAGACTGACACCTGTTGTGCAATAGAGAGCTTATTGTGAGTGTTTATACTAGACAGTAAAATCACATTTTTACTAAGCAGTGAAATTAGGAATGATATGGTTGTGGTAAAATTTCTTTATCTCACTACAGACAAAAGAGGAGATTGAGTAAATTGTACTACTTTACCTCAATCCTCTGCATATATAATGGTGTGTGAAGTGACAGCAAAAAGGGGAGAACCCTAGCCGCTACAGCTCTGAGCCTCCTAATCCATTCAGCCTCCAAACCCTAGCCCCCATCTCTTTCAAAAATCGCCCCAAAAGCGTTTTCAATCTTCCTCTTCTTCATGAACTCTCAAACCTCAATCTTCAGTCCATTCAACATTCTGTAAATCCTTATCAAGACTCATCTTCACCACTCAGTTTGAACTCTCATTTTTAAACAAACCTTCAAACCCAGTTGAACCAACCAAAGTCACCTTCGACAAATACGACATACTATAATAACAAGACCCTCCCCTCAAATTAAACGATTTTCCTCTTACAACAACAACCGCTCTGGAAACCCGCAAAACGTTTCTTCAATATCAACCCAGAAAACTCCTTAAAACTTCATTCACCATCACCTTCAAAATCCACCCTCCACCATTAACCCTCGAACCACAATCCACCCAAAAAAAACTCATCACCTTCAACGAACATCCAAACTTGAAATTCCCCATTAATCTTCGATTTCCATTATCAAACTCCAACTTCCATATTTCTTCACAAATCAACTACATACACACAAAAACCCAGAATAGCAAAGTGAAAAGGGGAAATAGAAATAAGGAGATCGGAGGATAATGGTTGGTGAAGTTTGAGAACCGACATGCCAACCTGGGCCAAGGTTTGTCGCGGTAGAGAGAGTGAGGTCGAAGAAGAATAGATGCGAAAATCAATCTCACACTGATGGAGAAGTAGATCAAAAGAAAGGAAAAACGATCTGAAAAAGTAAGATGTTAGACATAAGTTTTGGGGAGCAGCATGATGGGCTGTGACTCGCTGGTTTTTTCGGCTGTCCGTTTCGTGAGGGGGAGTTGATGGGTCTTTTGAGCCCAAATGATTCTCCCCTGATTAACAACCCCTATCCAATCTCAGCACCCCTTCTTTTTTTATTATTTGCTTTTAGAGTTTTAATGTTAGTTTTTTTTAAGAAATCGTTTTGTTTAAATAATTTTTAAACTTTCTATTAAAATTTTCATTGATTTAATGTACATTTGTTTTATTTTAATCATGATGTTAATAGCTCCAATTAAAATTATTTGGTAAATGAATTTGGTTATGCTTTCGATTGTATTTTCTTTTTTTTATTTTCTATCGTGTTTTGGGTCGATGACGAGACCTCCGTAATCCGTTATGAAGTCAAGCTATTGATAAATGACGTTGGATCTGAGACCGTTTCGCTTTCAACGCTTATCCCCCTAAAACCTCGGTCTCGTACCGAGTGTAACTTCGAAAATATTTTCAAATCATATTTTCTTTGTATTGGATTAAAAATAGAGGATTAAGTGTAGACTTTCTTCCTCTCCGAGTGTTGGGATACCCACTGTAGTGAGGGTGGTTCCGGCACTCGTCTTTCAATACGAAGATGCTTCCCATCCATTTTAAAACCTCACCTCCTTAAAATCATTCCTTTGTGTTGAGCTAAAAAGAGGATTGGGTGTAGACCTCTTCTTCTTCGAGCGTAGGGATGCCCACTGTAGTGAGGGTGGTCTCGATGCTCGTCTGTCAATACAAAGACGCTTCCAACATTTCCTCATAAAACCTCGGTCTCGTACTGAGTATACTTTCGGTAATAAATTGATTTCTCTTTGTATCGAATTAAGAATAGAAGATTGGGTGTAGACCTCTTCTTCTTCGAGTGTTGGGATGCCCACTGTAGTGAGGGTGGTCTCGATACTCGTCTTTCGATACGAAAACACGACTTTATCCACCATCTCGCTTTTACAACTTCATCCCGCAACCCTTGTCACCTAAAACCTCGGTCTCGCGCCGAGTGCATTTTCAAAAATCATTTTTACAACAAAACTTGAATGGTCGTGGAGTGGTTAGGCGTAGGCCTTCTCCTATCCCGAGTGCTGACGTTTACCGTAGGGTTCTCTGTCGCAAAGCACTTACCATTCAAAACCAAAAACATCATTAATAAGAGAACGAAGTTCTCTTTGCATTGAATTAAAGAGAGAGGATTAAGTGTAGTCTTTCTTCCTCTCCGAGTATTGGGATGCCCACTGTAGTGAGGGTGGTTTCGACACTCGTCTTTCAATACGAAGACGCCTCGTTCGCCACACTCTTTTATAACAAAAACTTTGAGATAACGAATTGGGTACTACCCGTAGGGGTTACTATCCGAGGACCTGTCTCGCCCCCTAAAAACAATCCAATCAATCAAACGTGACTTCTTGCCCCGCGTGGCGAAAACTAATCAATCTTTCAAAAGGATATGTTACGTCCGTTCTACCGCAAACAGGTAATGCCTAAGTCTCCAACGAGCGAGCTGCAAAACACCTAACTGCTAGAATGCGCACGATAGCATCATCCATAAAGACATCAACACACTGTCAGCACGAACTACGTTTGCTCTGATTTCTCATGCCAGATGAGAATACGTAGGCACAAGACAGGCGATGTCTTGGAGAGCTCCCTTTTTCACCTTTCACCCGTAGTAGGCCGAACTACGGCTGCTCTGATTTCTCATACCAGATGAGAATACGTAGGCACAAGGGCCACAATCCTTGCCGAGCACATTCCCCCTATATCTGTAGTTCCCCGAACTACGTCGACTCTGACTTTCTCATATCCGTTGAGAATACGTAGGCCTAGGACCGCGAAGTCCTATCGAGTCTGTCTTTTCGCTTCTTCCCCTCGTCACTTATCTCTCTCTCTCTCTCTCTCTCTCTCTCTCTCTCTCTCTCTCTCTCTCTCTCTCCCTCTCTCCTATTTCTAACCCTTTTTTCTCACTATCTTTTAGAACCCTTTTATAGCATAATGTTTAAGCAAATAATTTCACACATCGACAAACAAAAGGTTCCCATCGAGTACGATGGATGCGAGGGGTGCTAATACCTTCCCTTCGCATAACCGGCTTCCGAACCCGTTCTTGGTTGCGAGACCATCTTATCCACTTATTTCTTGAGGTTTTCTCGATATTTTCCTTTCCCCTCATGGGATAAATAAAGTTCGGTGGCGACTCTTCTGTCTATCTTTTTCGCCTCCCCGTCGTTGCGCGATGCATTTTTCGAGTAGCGACAGCTGGCGACTCTGCTGGGGACACCTAGCAAGCCAAGCCTATTTTGTTTATCGTATTTGTGTTTTATTTGCTTTATTTGTTTATGCTTTGATTCTCTAACCTGTTGGGTTTATTGGATGGTTTGTGAGATAAAGCTTTCTACCCGAGCTTTCGAGTATACACTAAGATTAGGAGGTGGTTTCTTTCTAATTTGCGAGACTTAGGACTCGTTGAGTTGGATCGAATCCCACCGCTCAGATAGACCCCTTTGGGATGATCATGTCTTACGTGTAGTCGTAATGGCGTTTTTATTTCCAACTTGGGAGTCCACGATTCTGAGAACCTTTGTAGAACCTTATTCCAAAGGTTGCTGAGACATGACTCTGTGTTCATCCTTTGAAGGGATTACCGTCTTACGAGTAGTCGTTATGATGGAAAACTTTCGAGGGCTAGTGCATGGGACTTTGTTTAAAAGCCTTTGGGATGCCCTCTTACAAACCAATAGATAACCCACCCGATGGGAGAAATATTTTGTGTTGTTTTGAAGGACCTGTGACTTTGATCTCGCTATCGTTCTTTTATCATGTGCTCATTACATTACATTTGCATAAGCATATCTGCATCATTTCTTTCATTCCTTACAACCCGACCTTACACGCCGCTTACCCTTTCAGAGAGAGTAAAGCAAGCTGACTTCACGGCATCGGTATAACACAAGGAATAGCCAGAAGAGAATCATGGATCAGATAGAGCAAGACCAGGCTACTATGAGGAGCGAGATGCTGGGCATGAAAACGCAGATGAATCAACTCATGGAGGTGATTCAGAATATGGCCAGGAGTCAAGAGGAGATGAGACAAGCAGCGGAGAGGAGCGCTAATCAGACTTTGGCTGGTGCAATTCCCAATGCAAGTGGTGCAATTCCAATTCCCGCTGAGGCCGCCCCAACCCCTGTTGGGGCAATTCCTACTTCTGCAGGTGCCATACCCGCCAACACCGTCCATCCACCAGTCGGTGCGACTTATCCTCATGGTACTACGATCCCAACACAAATCCAGTACGACGATCATGAAGGTTTCTATGAGAATTCAGGTGAAGCATATGGACCACATACCGCCGAATTAGAGAAGAAGTTTAATGCTTTACAGGAGATGGTGAAGACATTGCAAAGCCCCGATGTTTTGGGACTGGATGCCGCTGAAATATGTCTTGTACCCGGAGTTAAGATACCTCCAAAGTTTGTAATTCCAACCTTTGAGAAGTACAAGGGTAACAGTTGTCCTAAGACCCACATAAGGTCTTACTGTAGGAAGATGGCCGCCTATTCTGATGACGAGAAGCTACTAATCCATTTCTTTCAAGATAGCTTAACAGAGGCATCCCTAGAATGGTATATGCACCTTGAACGATCCAACGTAAGGAGCTGGAAAGAGTTAGCAGACGCTT